CGAGATAATCTTCAGTGGTATTTTGCTAGCCTGTGACATTAGTGATATTGTTCAATAATTTCCACACTCTGTAGGGTCACCTTTTTTTGGAACGGGAATAAGTATGAATCTCTTCCAGTCAGTTGGCCAGGGAGTTGTCCTCCAGATTTTTTAGTACAACCTGGTGAGCACATCCCGATCAGCATCTGTTTGTTAAAATATGTCAATTGGTATTCCATTAATTCCTGAACTGTATTTTTTGCCATGTCCTTCGGAGCAGCTTAAACTTCTTCCTTCATCACCATTGCTTTTCCATCATATGTTGTTTCTTTAAATTCTTCTGTGCCAGCCAATTCTTTTTGGTACAGTAACTCTGTATATTCCTTCCATCTTCTTTTAATACTTCCATAATCATTCGATAATCTTCCCATAGCATCCTTAAGCATTGTAACTCACAGCTTGAATATGTTCTTTAATTCCTTTCGCTTAAGAAATTCCAAACCTGTAGTCGCAGTATTTTTTTTAAGGAAAAGTTTTATTTTATACTGGTTTACATACAGTGTTTGTATACATTGTTTTTCACACCGGATCTTTCCCATTTCCTTTACCCATCCCTCCCTCTCTCCCTCTATGTATCAAATTGTATGACCCAATAACTACAATCTTGCTTATCCTCACCCCTCTGCTTCTACTCTAACTCTCCTTGGATCCTCATATATATGTTTTACTAGTTATCTTTCTATTTCTACAATAATAGCCTTATACAGTATTTGTCTTTATGAAACTGTGAGTTAGTTCACTTAGCATAATGCTCTCCAGTTTCACCCAAGTTAGGTAATGATTTTCAAAATTATTGCTTCTGCATGCTGCCTAGTACTCCATCATGTGAATGTACCATAATTTCTTAATCCATTCAGTTGTGGTTGGACATTTGGGCTATTTCCATGTTCTTGTGATAATGCTATGAACATTAGTGTACTGGCCACCATTTTTGTCTCAGTTCTCATTTTTTGGGGGTATATTCCAAGCAGACTCGCTCAGCATTTCTTAAGCTGAAGGAGTTGAAAAACAAATTCAAGCCACGGGTGGCAATACTTAAGGATAGTTTGGGTAGAATGTTGAATGATCCAGGATGTATAAAAAGAAGATGGAAGGAGTACACAGAGTCACTGTATCAGAAGGAATTGGCTGACACAGAGGAATTTC